TTCCCTACATCTCTGCCATGGTGAACAACGGCTCCCTCAGCTATGATCATGAGCGGGATGGGAGGCCAACAGAGCTGGGGGGCTGTACAGCCATTGTGCGCAACCTCCATTATGACACCTTCCTTGTGATCCGCTATGTCAAGAGGCATTTGACGGTGAGTCTCTGTTCTGGACCAGCTGGCAGTGTGAGCTGTCTGGCTCCTGCTCCTATGGCCTGGCCCTGATCTCTCTCTTCTCTCTGTTCTAGATTATGATGGACATTGATGGCAAGCACGAGTGGAGGGACTGCATCGAGGTGCCTGGGGTCCGCCTGCCCCGGGGCTACTACTTCGGCACCTCCTCCATCACCGGGGACCTCTCGGGTACCACACGTACACACCTTACTTGCCTTGACTGAGGTCACGTCTCAGAAGCCAGGCCTTAGCTTCTCAGAGGGAGCCAGATGAATGGGGCTCTGGGAGGCAGGTGCCCTGGGAGTGTTTATCGTCCTGCACCTCATACCCAGTCCCTTAACGCCCTAGGCTGAGGCCGTCCTCGGATAGTTGTCTCAGGAGATGGTCAGTGCCAAGGGACGGTAGCGTTTGCCCCCTCACAGAGCCCGCCCTCCAGCCTGGGTTTGGGGTCTGCACTCTCCCATCACTGATGCTGCCATTCTGGTCAGGCTCCTCCCCTTCCTGACATGCTTGGGACCCTTTCCCTTAAGCAGACCTCCCCACGATGCTGCTACCCTCTCTCACTGACCCCCAGACACTTCTTTGTATTCAGATTTCTGAATGTGTTGTGTGTACAGATGCTCCTGCTTCCAGCTCTCCTGCTCTTGGCATGCTGCCTTGGCCCTGAGTCTCTGCCACGGTGTTAGCTGTCTCGTGAAAGTTACTTCTGTGTCTTTGCCATGTGTGGCACTCTGTTCTCAGCCCTGGCTTTGTACCCTCTGTCAGCTTGTCTGACCAGTCACTCTTAAGCTCTTGCCTGCTGTAATGGATGTGGCACTCACAAGTGCCTGCTATCTGTGCTTTCCTATCTCCTTGGGGTTTTCTACCTCCTTGTCCTAATTTGTGTCTTCCTCTGTGTGCTTGTTCTCTCCTGGGCTTTAGCTCAAATCATGTCGAGAAGAAGTAAAAAAAAAAAAAAAAAATGACTTTTGAGTTTTTGGACCTAATTTATTATGAGTAAAGCTAACGTGGAATAGAATTTTCTTGTGACGAAGAAGAGAGGCAAACACCTATCTGAAGTAGGCAGCAGCTACTCAGTTCCAGCCATTATTGCCAAGAAAAATGTGGTCTCAGTGAGGCCATGGCTTCCAGTTTTCAAGAGAATCCAGGAATCTGGATTTTTAAAAGGAAATCTAATTTTTCAAATCCTGGCAACTGATTTTTTTTGAGGATGTGATTTCCATACTACAGAAGTACATAGCTTGAAGAGTTTTCACTGATATTTACACCTGTGTCATCACCGTCACAGCCAAGACACAGAACGTTTCCATCCCTGCAAAGTTCTCTGTGCCCCTTTGCTGTACCCGCCCTCCCCCGCCTCCACCCCCAGCTCCAGGTAGCATGCTTTCTGTCACTTAAAGATGTTAGTTTTTGGCCACTAGGTTCTGAATACTGTGCAGGCAGGCTGAAGCTGGAAGACAGAGCTCTTCCTGGCACAGGGACAAGAGGCACAAGCTTTAGATCTTTGCAATGTAATCTTGTAATGTGACCCAGTTGAAGGAGATCTCCTTGTCTACTATGGTTTCTCTCTGAGCGTACAGGTTTCTGGGACCTGCTTTCAGTTAACTTGACGATGTACTTTTCAGTGGGAAGTTGTTTCTAGCTGTTAGCAGTGGCCAAAGAGAATAATCACTTCTTTGTTTATCCTAAGGCGTCCTTTGCTCTTGGCTTTTGGTGGCGATGCCTAGGATATTAAGTCTGTGATCTGCATCCTTCTCTTAAGATCTCTCCTGTTGGTACCTTCTTGCTGTAACTCAGTGGATTGTTGAAAATGGCTGGGAAAGTTGGGCGCACCTTAGCTGTCCCAGCCCTGGCACCTCTCATAGGCTTGGATAAGGGCTACTGCGAATTCAAGAATTGTTAGGAGGATGAGGATAATACATTGTGAGGGGCGTTGCCCTGGCCTTTTATCCTGTCCATGGTTTAAACTCAGTCCTGACAGTGAAAACATTTTTCTGTTTGAAGGCAAATCTAGTTTTTTCATGTCTGCTAAAGATTCTAAGAGTCCAAATAGGTGTGGAAGCCATCCTAGTAATAGAAATGATAAGAAGCCCGGTCCCTGGGGACCAACCAAGCAGCCATGAGCTCCCTGGCACTCAGGTTTGTGGTCCCTGAAGACCAGTCACCACTGAGAGGAACAAGAGCTTGGAGAAATGGCAGGTTCGAGGCAGGAAGTGTACAAGCAAGACTTCCCAGAAGAGCCAGGAAGATAACCCTAACTTCTGAGTTCATATAAAAGGGCTCAGGAGCCAACCGAACAGGCTCCCATGGGACCAAGACCAGTCGAGTTGAGCATCAAAATGTACAGCTTCAGTGTGGTGCAACGCATCGAATGTGTCTGAATCAATGAGTTTATAATGACACTTTAAAGAGATAAAAATCAAGCCCCTAATTCCTTGATCCTTTCTCTCGTAGTTACTAGTGAGATTCAGGGGTCAGTTTCAAGAAGCTACAAAGCATTAGGCCCAGTCCAGAGGGGAAATGTGTCCAGTAGCTGTGCCCTGCTTGCAGCTGTCACACAGCTGCTGGAGGCCCACTCCTGTGTTGCCTGTGCATGTTATCGCCACTAAAGGGGTTGCAGTGCTGCTGGCCTCACTGGGCTGGAAGGTTTTACGTAGCATATGGGATTTCATTTTAGTGTTGTCTCTACATTTTTAAATTATGCAGGTAAATGCATGCTTGTTGATAAAAACTTTAAATACACAATAATAGAGAATATTCCCCATTCCCTTGCCTTATTTTTACATGGGAAAATAGAGGTTTCACTTATTTTTTTAAGGTCCCTGCCAGTTAGCTGTGCACCAGAAGCTGGAACCAAGATGCTCCAATCCGCGTCTGCAGGGCCTGAGTATCCTTGTTCTCTTCCTAGACAACCATGACCTTGTCTCCCTGAAGCTGTTTGAGCTGACAGTGGAGAGAACCCCAGAAGAGGAGAAGCTTCATCGAGATGTCTTCCTGCCCTCGGTCGACAACATGAAGCTACCTGCAAGTGAGCACGGGGACCCTGGGGACAGCCCATGAAGGGGAGGGCCATAGCGCTGGGGGCAGTCAGAGGTGACCTGCACCTACCCTTAGCAGGGCTTCTCCCTGTCCTGCCCCTGAGGAATACAGAGCACTAGCACCTGCTTGTCACTTATCTCCTGGTTACAGATGAGCAGGATAAGGCTGCTGCATTTTAAACTGAGGCACCTGGAAAGGGAGAATCTGGGCTTTAGCCCCCAAAAAGGGCTGAGAGCCTGGGGGTGGCTTGTGGGGCAGTCTTTCCCAACAGGGTAGGCTCCCTGGTGCTGACTTGCTTCTCTCTCACTTCCTCAGTGACAGCCCCACTGCCACCCCTGAGTGGCCTGGCCCTCTTCCTCATTGTCTTCTTCTCTCTGGTGTTTTCCGTATTTGCCATTGTCATCGGGATCATACTCTATAACAAGTGGCAGGAACAGAGCCGAAAGCGTTTCTACTGAGCCCTAAAGTGCCACTGCCACCTCTGTGGCTATCACCGTGAGGGATGGGAGGAGCAGGTGCTGGCCTGAGCACACAGCCCAGCGGTCATCTTCAGTCTCCAGCAACTGGTCAGGGACTCTGTTCTGTCACTAGAGCTTTGAATGCAGGGACACGGTCATCTGTGGGCCCTCTGACTCTGGTTCAGGAAGCCCCCCCCACAGGGCCATGCTGTGACGTGCCTTTCCCTGCAGTCCTCCCCTGGGAGCTTGAGGGGTGGAGATAGTATCTGCTGCTGTGATGCCAAGATCACAGAAAAGGACTCCAAAGCCCGGGCTGCCTTGGCGTTGGACTCAGGATCCTCATGCTTCATGTTTAAACCTTCCAAGATCTCCTCGTACCTTCCCACTGTTTGTTTTCTGTTTTTTGCTTTTTGTCTAAGTCTCTGTCCACCTGGCAGCATCCTTGGAATCTGGATGGAAACTTCTGCCCCCCTACCCCAATGCAGCCTGGGCTGGAAGCCATTCGATGCCTCTCTTTTGGGGCTGGGGCTACAAAACAGATGCATTTCACTAACCCTCATGAACTAGCCGGAGGGGAGGGCTTTCTGCTTTGGCTCGCTGCTCTGGCCTTTGTTGGTCAGCATGGCCCTTGGTTCTGTTGGTGTGTTTGCGGCCTTTCCAGGTAGGTCCCGTTAGGTCCTCAGTCATGTTTAGCCGGAAGTTGCTGTGCAAGTGAGTAAGCTTGGAAGATTTCATGAATGCGGTGGGACTGATCCTGACAGTGACCAGCTCCAGGGTTTGGCACCAAAAGCAGCATTTGCTGTATGATTCGACCATGTAGAGATGTTCCTGTCCCATCCAGAGCCTGGTAGCTGCATGTTTTGTGTCTGTCGTGATCTTTGGCCTCTGCTCTGCATGTTCAGAATGTAAGGAAGCTTTCTTCCTACAGCCTTGGCCAGTACCCCCAGGAGGAAGTCTGGCTTTTCTCCTCCTAATGGATGAGAAAGAGGTGCTGTGTTCATTGCAAATCTGAGCACGGTAGAGACCCAGTTATCTGTGCCTGGGAGTGTTTGTTGTCACTGAGCACCAGAGCCTGAGTGTCACTCTTCTAGGGTCGCCCTTATTCCACTGCCTTATTTGACAAGGGATCATGTGCTGCTCCCCTGTCTGCCCTGTGATGGAATTGACTCCAGAAGGTTGGAGCTCTGAGCTCTCCAGTCATGTACTTCTGTAGCCTGAGGGAATTCGTAAAATGGCTGATGGAAACCAAACAAGAGCTTCTGACTTTGATGTCCTTCCTTCTAGGTGTGGGTCTGGGGGAGGGTCCAGGGCATTTTTCTGAGCCCCAAGCCCTTCAGTCCTTGCCCCACATCCTGGGTTGGGAGACCCTCAGCTCAGCCCATAAGAGAGGAAGGGTCCCCTTGGCTTGGTGTGGGTTTTCATTTCATCCTTTCCAGGTACTTAAGGAAGCTCCTGGCAGACTGTGGTGGGGTCGGGGTGGGGACCTCCTAACACCTCCCCAACAGCAGCAGCAGAGTTCCAGGCTAATGGCTGTTTTGTCTTTTTTGAGTTCAAGGGGAGATGGGATAGACCCTTGTAGTGGACGGCTTGGGTGAGCTCCTGAGATGGGGGGCAGTGGAGCAGGAGGAGGGTCTCAGCAGGGGAGGGGTGTGTGAGAGAGCTCAAACTTGTGGGTTTTGTGTGAACCCAGCTCATGATGCCCTGGGGCTTTTTAAAGAGGTGGGGAGCCCTGAGATGCAACTTCACCCAGCCCTGCTGCCTTAGGGAGGCATGTGGTGCTGGCAGGCTGTCTGACCCAGCTCCGTGTGTCTTGCCCTAGCTCTTTTTGTTCTAGAAATAAGTATTTCCCTCCATGAATAAGGCCGAGTAGGTGTGTCCTAGAGGAGGGCTGTGCCAGTCTGTGGCGTGGCTCTTTTGTGCACACACATCAAGGGTGAGACCGTGTCCTTGGCCCTCTGCTTACCCCATGGAGCCACTTCTCTCCTCACAGTCATCACCCTTTCCCTGTTTCTCTCTGACTTCCCATTCTATTAGAGTGGAGGAAACCCTGAAGGCTAGAGGTGATAGGTGACAGTGTTCCCTGTCCTTATCTTATCTGAAAGGCTGGCATTTCAGCCTTTCATATTATCTTCAACCCCCAAATGACAAGGTGGCTCTCTTTTACAAAGTTTATTTCAGTGGAAGATTACAACTTTGCCCTTCTTGGCAAAAGTAGTTTCTGAACAGAATGGCCAGAATATCCTAGTTCCTTGCTGTTCTAGAAGACAGAAACAGGAACTGGTGGGAGCCCCAGGGCAGGGCTGACAGTGGGCAGAGCAAAGCCAGGTAGACCCTAGCAAATTAGCCCCGTGGGGCTGGAAGTTCTGGAAAAATATCTTGCAGGTGATTTATGGGTCCCTGGAGGAGTTTCAGCTCATGGTTTGTTGTAGGTTCTATTGTAGGCTCTCGGTTCAGATGCTGGGTGACGAGGACGGAAGAGTTGTTATGGCTGGCGTTTAGTGAATTAATGATGTTGTTGACTATTGTAATGGGCGAATTCAGCCGAAGTTTAGGTTTGACCCAGTCCATGGCCAAATAGTTCTAGGGAGAACAGGCAACAATTAGCCTGAGGGTGCAACCGGCAGGCTCTCCAGAGTTAGCCAAAGAGTAACTAGTGCCTTTGTCCCTGTCCCCACACTCACCGGAGCTGAATACATGAAGTTGAACAGTATAAGCCCCATAATCAATATGATTGAGACTACTGTGATTTTGAAGCGGTAGCGTTTCCAGAAAATACGGAGGATGTTTTTAATGGGTGATTGAAGCCATGACAGCAAGGTGGTGGTGCGTCTGTCCGTGAGCAGAGTTGATGTCAGAGAGTGAAGGGCAGAGGGGACTTTCAGGTCAGGTTATTCAGAGCAAAGAGCTTACTTCTAAAAAGCAGCTTTGGCCCTCCACCCTACTTTCACCCCCACCCATGGCTGCTCTCTCCCACATGACTGTGTGTTGAGCTGGGTAGTGGGAAATCATCACTCTGCTCCACCGTCTGCCTACTGGTCACTTCCCCTACATATTGCCGGGTCAGCAGCTTGGCCTTGTGAACGAGGGTCGGGAGGGAGGGTGGCACATCTGCCCCGCGGGACCCTTACAGTGGGGGGTGAAGTGTAGGGTACTGGTTGGGTTCTGACTGCCCACGTCCTGCTGGCCGGATCAAGGCTTCCTTCTCTGTCAGAATCTCCAGTGTCATCTTCACTTTACCCTAGAAATACCACCATTATGATGGATGAGCCTCCTCTTCCATGAAGGAAAAGGGATGCAGTTAAGGCCCCCGGGTCTGTTAGAGCTGAGGGGCTGGGCACACCAGTCCTGTGCAGTAGACACCTTCCCCAGCTCCTACCGACAAGCGCCATTTGCCATCCTCAAGGGCCTGGCAAGGCCACCAGCCGGTTACAGTTTTCTTCTTGAAGAGGGAGAAGTGCTTGTGCCGGAGGAAATAGGGCCACTTCGGCTCCGCATCCATCATCCTGGCAGAGCACAGCTTGGCATGCCGGGCTGGGAGAGGCATGTCCGACAGATCCAGCTCTAGGACCCCTGAGCCCAGAGAAATGCTGTCACAAGAGGAGTTCCCTGTCCGGAGGTCACGGGCCCTGTACCGGGATCTCACCTAGGAAGTCATCCATGGAGAAGAAATCATTGTCCCAGACCTGGATGATGAGCCGAGCTGGGAACTTCATCACTGTGGGATCCAGGCTCCATATGTAGTCCTGGGGGATGGCAGAGGAGTGTGTTATTGCCAGTCGTCTTTGAGAGTCTCCTTGGCCACCTTAGGAGCCCACTACTCAGCCTGATGGACTGTTGGGGGAGAGGGTTTGTGCCTGGGGCTTCTGATGCAGCACATAAGTCTCTGAAGCGGGAGGAGGAAGGGAAGCTGCCTTGCTCGCGTTACCTTCTGGCTCAGGACGCATACTTGCTCCGCTGCCAGGTAGTCCAAGGTGAAGATGAACCGCCAGTTGAAGCTGCCTTCCCCAGTCAGGGAGCTATAGTGGACATCTGTCTTCTGCATGTCCTTCTCTAGCCCGAATAGCCACCTGGGGCCAGAGTCCTCTCACCTAGGGTCCGTGTGCACTGTCCCCATTCCCAAGTTGGAGCCCTGTGGGAAGGGCTGCCCATCTGACACCAGATGCAGTGGCAGTGGACAAGTGTCAGCCCAGGACAAGGAGGACCCTTAGGAAAGCAGAACTGGGAGACTCTAGAAACTGCTGGGGTCCTTCCTGCTTGGCCTCACCCTTTGACATAGATGTCACTTATCATCTCGTTGCTTAAGGTGATGTTCTTCAGGTCCACCTGGGCAGTTTCCCAGATGATGCAGCGTAGCTCGTACCTGAAGCCAGGGCAGCCTTGGTGAGGGGGAGAGGCCTGGGGAAGGGGGTCGCCTCCCAAGCCCTCCATCATGCTGAACTGGGAGGCTTGGGAGGGAAGCCCCAGGGATCCCAGCAGAGGAAAGTATTCCCATGCCCAATGCCGGGAACACCGGCACCCGCACCTGGGGAGGCTACCCTGGCAAGCACACCCACACCCACCTTTTAGGCTTCCTGGGCATGATGTTGACAGGGGGGCCAGGAGGCCCCAGCTTCTTGGGGAAGATGTCCACCCACATTTGCACCTTTCCCTGGAGCGGAGATGGGTTAGCTGCTGGGGTTCACTAGCCTCTGTCCTCACGTGCTGACCTGGGGAGCCCCATCCCAGGTTCTGAGGTCTGGAGGCCATGTTCCCAGCACTGAGGAGTGGGGTGCAGGGTCTGTGAGGTGGAATGACTTCAGACAGGAAGTCAGGTCACCCTCCCATCATCCTCCCCTTTTTCTTTTTTTTGGCTGGGAGAACAGTGCAGTCAGATTGGTAGTATATGATGGCTTCAAGGCTGATGGCTATGATGTCGGCATGTCACTTGTGACTTGGGTCTGAAGTATTAATGCCATTTGGCAGTTGGTGCTGGAAGCCTCTGGAGGGCTCCTGAATGGGGTTGGGGCTTCAGTTATTAACCAGCTTTGTGGCCCTAAGCGAGTGTAAATTAGATAGCCTGGCTAGTTCAATTTAGGATGAATAACCACATCAGAAGGATATGAAGCTAAAGCACAGAGGTCTAAGAAAAAGATGAAATGGTGAGAGAAAAAGGAAAAGGGTGGAAATGCTAACATTGGAAGAAACAAATACATTCTTTCAAAGTATATGACCTAATTTCTATTTTTTTGAAGTTGACCCCATTTGAGAAACCAGGTTTAATGAGAATGCTTTTTAAAAAAAATGCTCAGCAGAACTTTTTGTCTCAAATGTGCTATCAGCTTGAGAATGCGGAGAATGGGGTGAGCCGTTCTGTCAGCCATGGGGTTTTTAGCCCTTCTCTTTGGGGCTTCTTGCCACAAGGAAACACAACCTGTAACTAACAGCCAGACCACAGTTATGGTGTCTGCATGCCGACCCCTGGTGCTGCTGCCCCACCTCCCTCAAGAGACAGGTGGTGCTGGCATTGGCTGCTAGGTGCCTCAGCATATCCTGTAGCAAGCAGATGGATGCCGCTGACTCTCTCCTTCCTAAGTGGCACTGGAACTTCTTACTTATTGACGTGAGAATGGGTGTGTCTTCTGCATGTGTGCATCTGAGTACTTGGTCTCTCCTTCCCCTTGTCCAAGGCTCCATCCTGGGTGATGGGTTCCCCTGTCTCCCGATCCAGCTTCTGAGGTTACATACCTGGTCGATGCCTGGCTGGCTGTCACTGTACAGTGTGCGGGTCTCCACGTGCTCAGGGACCAGCCCCTGGGTGTGCAGGAGGTGCAGAGCCAGGCGCTCCTTCTTAGGTCCAAAGTAACGAGCACTAGGGGGCTTGGGCTCTAGATTGGAGGGGGCAGAAGGAGGGGGTCCTGGATCATTAGCCTTCCCCTCTTACAGGGAGCCCCCACCTTCCTGTGCCCAGCTAGGACAGTGGCCATGGTCACCCCTCACAGAAGGAAGGGGGAAAGGGGGTGCTGCCTGGGGAATCCTTCCACCCTGAAGCATCCCTAGTTTGAGGCCTGGGTCTGCACTCTCTGGCAGTGAGCCCTGCTTACCAAAGCGTTGAAGCTTGAACTTCCTCCCATTGTAAAAAACAGAGTCACCATTGGGGTTGAACAGAGGCGGAGGCAGTCCTTTCCGTTTGGCATGGTGTTCCAGGAGGAAGCTTGGGAGCACCTGATCCCGCCACCTGAAGGGCCCTGACCTGGAGAGGTGTGAGAAGAAATGATGGAAGGTGTGGGTCCTAGAGAACATGCTCCTTGGAGCTGCAGGTGCCCAGTGGCGGGAGTAGGGGGAGACAGGTTTGGGCCCTGGGTCCCCAGCCCAGGATGCAGGCCTCTAAGAAGGAAGCTATGAGTTCACTCTGCCACCCGTCCCTGCATCCTTGCCCTGGGTCAGGCTCTCTCACTGGCAGTACGATTGGGAGAGCCCACAGCGAGCTCCAAAGCCAGACAGGAGCCGGTTTTCGAGGTCGATGACAGTGGTTCCAATCTTATCATCAGGTGAGAACAGGTCAAAGTCATACAGCTGGACCTCCAGGTCCTTCTCCAGGGGGATGGTGCAACTCAGCTCGAACATCCTGCAGGGAGGGGGATGCAGACCCTGGCCCATGTTACCTACATGCCTCCCATCCAGCATCTAAGCCAGGGGCCCCTGTTCCGCCTCCTTGTTTGGTCCTGGTGACTGGGGAGCAGTCTGTAGGCCTATGGTGTGGGACTCAGCTCCTTTCCAGATAAAGCATGTGAGGGGTGGTTAGGGCAGGTTGCCTGCCCGTTCATCTTCCATCTTTAGTGTGTGAGATACTGCAGTAGCAACCCGGTGGCCAGGAGGGAATGCAAGAATTCCTTGCTTCTGGAGCTTTTTTCCAGCACGGTATGGTTGGGAGTGGAGAAGGGGCTGGGTGAGTTGGGGTGCTCACATGCCAAAGATAGGGTCCAAGGTGTTGGCCTGGTATTTGTCCCGGCTGCCAAGCTTAGTTTCCCCCAGTTTCAGGATCACATAAGGGTCACACTGGGGGACAGGCATAAGAGAGGGGAGGATAGGGCATGGAGTCAGTCCAGGTTGGTCAAGGAGGGCGGGAGTGGGGCAGAAATGACCCCTAGCACCAGACGGAGCCTTGGGGAGGTGACAGTGTCAGCAGCCTGAGGGAGCTCCAGGACACGAGGTTCAGGGCTGGGTATGGGAGCTGCCTGGGCTGCGAGAGCCAGGAGGTGGGCATGGGGCAGGGGCTGCTTGTTACCAGGCCATTGTAGTCTTGGGGCTGCAGGTTGATGGCTCGCACCACGTATACCCGCACTACGCACTGCTGAGGGAAGTCCTCCTTCTTGGGCAAAACTGAGAGCTGGCGGGGCGGTTTGGGGGCCTCTGGGTTCTCAGGAAGGGGGTAGACACGGAAAAGGCCCTGTGTGTCAGTGGAGGTTGGTGTTGGCAGCTGGCTCTGCAGAGCCCTCCAGGAGCTGCCCTGCTTCGAGCTCGGGAGAGAGTGGTAGGAGGGTGCAGGGACAGTAGACCACAAGGACAGGTAGAGAGGCAGATGTGGCAGAAATGCTGTGCAGGGACCCCGTGTGCAGGAGGGTGCTGGGCAAGGAGCTGCTCGCAAGGGGGTTCCCAGTCTGCTGATGTGAACTGAACCCCATCCCACCCATCCCCTTCAGATTCTCAGGCCTCGGGAGACTGAGCTGGAGCTGGGAGCGAGAAGGCCCTTGCCCTCCTTGTGTGTGGGAGGTCACCCTGAACCACCACATAGGCCAGTCTATGCTCCCCCACTCCCAAAACTTTTTCGAGCCCTCCCTGCCCGCTTCTACAGGGAGCATATAGAGGCAGGGCTTTTATTTCCTCTGGGACAAGAGGGCAGGAGGAGGCGGCAGCTAAGCCAGGCCAGACACCCACCTTGAACTCCCCTACCACGGGGCTGTCCACCTTGGGTGATTCCTGGTAGAGTTTGAAGGTCTGGCAGAAGTCCTGCAGGCCTTGGAAGGCTGGCACTGCCTCCAGCTCGCAGTCGTATATCTGCAGGAAGGTGTGGGGGACCCAGGCTGCTGGGGAGCGGGCCTGGGCTTGACCAGAAGGGACCGTTCTGGGATCTGGATTGAGGAACCACGAACTCCCAAGTCTTGTCCCCTGGTGTCTGCCCAGTCAGTGGCCCCAGGGTCAGCACTGCCTGCCATGGCTGGGGCAGCCCTGGTTCCCACACAGGTTTGGCTGAAGGAGGTATGGCCTGGAGTCTTGGAGTGACAGCGAGGAACCCCCCACCTTAGTAGTTCCCAGAGGATTCGGGGCTATGTGTGCTGGCCTTTTTGGCAGGTTTAATTCCATGTCAGTAGCCTCCCTCCTGGGGCCTCCAAACCTTCAGGGTGTGGTAGTCTCTATCTTTGTGCTTTGGGGACTTATCGTCTCCTGTGGCCCAGAACAACTTGCTCCACCAGTCCACCTCATGCTCGTACTCATCCTGGCCGGGAAGAGGGGCCGCTGGCCTTCCTCTGCCCAGGCTCATGCTGCCCCCACCTCCCGAGCTGCCTGGACTTGCTCCTGGTTCCCCACTGCTGAGCCCACATCACCTCGGTTTTGCTGAACTTGAACCAGAATTTTTCAGAGAGATAACCTAGGAGCTGAGAAAAGAGAGCAGTGAGCGAGGTGTGGCCTGGTGGCCTCCAGCCTGCACTCTACCCTGACTCTGAGGAGAGGGTGCAGGCCAGGGCCAACCTCACACAGGCCTCTTCATTCAGGGGCTTTTGGACAGACATGGTATTGGGGCATGAAGGGTAAGCCCAATTCTTAGTTCTTAGCCTACAGCTTCAGACTGAACTCGGGACTCGGAAATGCCCAACCCCAGTCCCCACCCCAGACCTACTGAAACAATCTGCTTTTGCCGCAGACGCCCTAAGGATGCCTGTGTGTTCACTTGTGACAAGGGTTGCTCTAGGCAGTAGTCCCAAACCCAAAGACATTGGAATGACCTGGATTAGGGGGGAGGGGGCAGGGAGGAGGGATGCTTGGAAAAAATTGCCAATGCCCAAGTGCTGTCCGCAGCAATTCTGAAGCAGCTGGTCAGTGGCCTGGGTCGCAAGATTTAAAACTCGACTTGGATGGGCAGTTAGGCCTCACGCCGGGAGGATCTCAGAAGCCCTCAGGGACCAGGGCTGTTCCCTAGAGATGATGTGGGAGAAGGTGCGACCTCAAGTCCTTGCTCACCTGGTGCTTGTTCACACACAGCTCTGTGTGGAAAAAGTGCAACCATGAATCTCAGGACCATGCAAAGGAGTGCCAGCTTGGTGGCAAGGCCTGGGGAAGGGCATACTTGGAAGCCGTGGGGGCACGTAGTCCAAGGCCCAGGGGTCGCAGAAGTAGGGCTGCAGGGAGTCGATGTTGGCCTGACCCACCACAGCCTGCTGGCCGAAGTCCCGGTCGTCTACCACCTTCAACACGAGCGGCAGCGCGTAGGCCGCCTCCGTTGGCATGAACTGCAGCCCGGGGAGTTCTCCGTGAGGCCTCCCCAGAGGAGTGGTTGCCCAGCCCTAGCCTCGCCCAGGCCTTCTTACCAGTGTGAGGAAGAGGACTGACTGGGCGAAGTTGGGGTTGCTCGGGAAGTCCTTGATGGGTTCTGTCTGCAGGGTTTCTTCCCAGCACTCCACCAGCAGCTGTGGGGCACGCACCTCCTTCATGTTGCGGAGGCCCCATGCCAGGATCTGCCAGGATGGGTGGGCCAGCAGCCCCTCTGTGAGGGGTTCTGGCCCAGATAGGCTGTGCTAGCAGTGCAGTGTCTTGGGGAGCACATAGTGCTCGTCCTCAAGGCCAGGACCCTGCCCCCCGCTTTCCACGAGAGAGTTGCCATTGGCCACTGACTGCCCATCACTGACCTCCACTGCTCCTTAGGTATTGTCCTTCCCTACTTGTGGCCTCTCATCTGTTCTCTCAGAAGTGACTTCCTGACACTGGCCGCCTCGAAGGCCCACAGGAACAGGGGTACCCCAAACTTCTCAGGTGTCCCTAAGGCCAGCTAGCTCACTGCTGACTTGTCTTTCATACAACCCCATGGGTGTTCAGTGACCCAGCACCCTGTGATCTCACTCTCAACTGGCAAACACTGGGCCCCCCAGGAAATGTCTATGTCCTTACTCCTGAGGGACCAGAGCAGGAGCCAGCCGGGGCACTTGACCCTGGGGAAGAACCCAGTGCCGGTGGGGCCTGACTGGTTTTTTCTCTGCCAGATTCATGGCTCCCATGTGGGGACCTCCGTGCTACTCTCAAAGGAGAGGTGGGACACATGCTGGCCTTGGAAGTTGGGTAGTCCTTGCCCAAATCCTGGCTCTGCCACTTAGCCTGTGTCACTGTCTCAGAGCCTCTGTGCTGCAGAGCAGCATCACTCATACTGAAGCCCCTGGTTTGTTCCCCACTGCAGGGAGGTACAGAAATAATGTACAGTGTTCTCTGAGTGCTACTGCTGTCCCCTGTCCTGTCTCCTTCCACCTCAGCTTGGATCCTCTTATGGTCCAAACTTTGGATCAGGTGGTCAGCAGAGAGCTCCATGGCTCTGGGTGAAAGGCTCACTCCCTGCCCGCCCTCCCCTCCCCACACCTGCGTCACCTCGATCATCATTTTCCTTAGCATGGGCTGCATGCTCTTGGGGAGTGTGAAGACCCCGTTCTTCCAGGGAAGACTTAAGATTGGCAGCTTCCTTCTGAGACTCTGAGGGCGAGGTGGGAGAGCAGGGATCATGAGGCCCCATTGGGCTGGTCCTGCTACCCTCCATCCTCAACTCAAGCAGGTTCTTCAGAGGGGTCCTCTGAGGAGGCCCCAGATGTGGGCAGATGCTGGCAAGGGAGCTGGGGCGGGCCTTTCCTGGGGAGTAGAGTAGGGACTCTGTGGGGACTTATGGCAGGGGCGTGGGGCAGGGTGGGAGCACTGATCACTGCGCTCCCCAGCTGGCTGTCTCTCTCAGTACCTCAGTCTCCAGGATCAGCTCGCAGGATGCCAGGATCTCGCCCTCTTCCTCTCCCAACTCTTTTGCAAGGGGGTGCCACCTCATGGGGGGCAGGATCCGGTGCTGGACATCCAGCCAGACCACTGGGGACCACATGCTCCGTCCCCACAAACTCTCCTTGCCCTGGAAGGAAGGGGAGGTTGCAGAACACGGGGGGCCCAGCTGGCAGGTCCTGGCTCCTCCTGGAACCCTGTGGGTCTGGGAGAGCTCGCATTTACGCCCACATGGTGCCCTGTGAGTCAGGCCCGGGTGTTCTGCCCGAAAGTAAAAACTCGCCACTGTGCCCAGCCCAGCCACCTTACCTGGCTGTCCCGCTGCCATAGTTCCAAGACCACGAGTGGCGGGCTCTTTCTGGTGTCCTGGGGGTTCTCATACAGCAGGAGGTGCTGAAAGACAAGCGTCTGCGCCCATGTAGGGGCTGCAGAGCTCCTGAGGCTTTGGGTGCACTGGCTGTGGTGCAGGAAGACCAGGCGAACAAAAGGCCCTGCAGGTGGGGGCATGGGGTCACACTGAGCTGTCAAGTGAGGCTCTCTTCTCCTCTGGCTGCTGCTGCCATTGGACCAGTTACCTGGGTGTACCCAGGCTGGGCATCCCAGCCACTATCAGGCCGCAGCACATAGGCAGAGAGCCAGCGGAAAAGGGCCATTTGGTTCCACCATGTCTGTTTCACACTGCCATGGTGAGATCTGGGCAGCACACAGACAGCCAGCTGGTGGCCCCTCAGGAGGAGCTCTGGGGACCAGGCACATGTGGCTGCCTTGCCACAGTACTGAGTGGCCTTGGCACTAGGGATGTCGCATAGCCCTCTCAATGGGGGTACTGGTGCCCAGGGGACACTGCCCTGGCTGAGCCCATCATGCAGCAACCTGGCTCCTTACACAGTGCCACCAACAGGACAGGGTCCTCCCTCATGGGGCCATAAGTCACTACCCTCCTCCCCACCCTCATCTTCTGTCCAACATAAGAAACAGATGGTTCCCAAGGTGTCACCCTCTCTTGCCTCCATGTCTTGTAAGTGCTATGCAAGCAAACTCTTCCCTCTTCAAGGCCCAGCTAAGTGGTCCCCACCGGGTGACACCTCCCTAACTCCCCCTTCCTCCCCCTTGTTGATTCCACAGCGCTGGGGACACATAAGAACAGCCTTGTATTCCTTGTTTTTGTGTCTTTTCCCCAAATCAGGGCCGTGAGCTGTTGGGGGAGGGGGTGTGCATGTTTGTCACCCTCTTCCTTGCCATACTCTTTGTACTGCAGGTGGCCACATTAAGGGGCCTCTGGGAGAGAAGGGTGCCTGCCACCTACCTTGGAACACCTGGGTCTGACTGACTGCCAGATTCCGGGCCTGGTAGATGTAGCAGAAAAGCTGATAGTAGTGAGGCTCTGGGTGAGAGAGGGGCTAGTCCATCACTGCCCCCAGGACCCCAGCCCTCCCCAGCCCTGCCCTCAGGTGCAGGGCCTCTGGACACCCAGGCCGACTCTCAATTGAGTGCTCACTGTCAAAGATGCAGTAGATGAGAGGCAGGTGGGGTGTCTGGGTGTCCTCTGCAGCAGACCTCCAGGAGTCCGTGAATGTTTTGCTCAGGCCCCTCGATGGCGTCTTGTCCTCTTCCTTCTCAGCCTGCTGATTCAAGTCTGTACCCTGTGCCTGGGACAATCTCCCCTAAGGCTCCTGGGAGCTCAGGCACAGCCACCATCCAAAGCCTAAGGATGTGGATCTGGGGCCCAGACACCCCCACCCACTGGTAGCTGATGCCTTAGCCCAGGCGTCTCCACTGCCTGCCATGCCCAGGTCTGGCCCCGGGTCCCCAAAGTGGGGTACAGGGGGAGTTGCCCGCCTGCTGAGACTTTACCAAGGACCCCTCCAGGAGGAATATGGGCGCAGTGCCCTCATCTTCATCGGGGGCCAGTCTGCGGTGCCAGCAGCGGCGGCGGAACCGGCTCTGAGGCTGAGGGCCCAGGTGGAACTTGGAACCCATGGTGCCGTACTCCCAGCCCTCCTCCTCCTGGGCCAGGCCATGGTGCTGCTGAGGGTGAAGAGCATAGTCACCCTCCTGCCATGGCCCGGGTGGGCCCGCTTGCAGTCCTGCCAGGCCCCTGCACGGGCACCCTCACCAGCTGCAGGAAGGACAGCGTTTCCTGCTCCGTGCCCAGCTGCCTGCGGTCCCGGCAGCGCACACGCGCCCAACGCCGGCGGCGGCAGGAATAGTAGATCTTCTCTACCGGGTTCCAAACTTGCGGCAGGCCCGAGGGCAGCATTCCCACACCGTACTCCCAGCCTGCAGGGCAGGGCTGCTGTGGGTGTCTAGTGCCCCAGGCTGGGAGCTGGGACAGGCCTCAGAGGAGGCCCAGACAATAGGCTATGTGGACAGCACTTTTTTCTGCATCCAGGTCTCTCTGGCCCTGGAAGGTATGGCCACCCTGTACCATCTTACAATGAGGAAGATGAGACTCAGAGATGTCATGTGACCTGCACAAGGTCACACAGCCCATGGCCCCTCTCTGGAGCCCCCTGGGATAACTGTAGGCTGCAGGACTAGATCTATGTTCAAGTGCTCAAGAGACACAACCTGCCCTGCCTTAGAACTGGGGCCCATGGTTGTGGACGGGGGGTTGGCATCACTCTCCAGAGGCCTGGCGCCCATGAGCTAGGCTGCTTTTAGGCTGTGGGGGTGTCAGACGCAGGCAGCTCCAGGCCTTCTGCCTGAGGCCTGTGAACAGAGGACTGACCCTCATTGTCCACTGCATGGTTCAGCTCCACGGTCCAGTTCTTCTTCACGTGCCAGCCTTGGGGACACTTCACATTCTCCCGGGCCTCCACGGGCTGTCCATTCTGTGGGTAGACAGGGATTGGGCAGAGGGGCGTTGAAGCTAGGAAGCCGCCTCCACTCATCCCCACACGTCCACTCGCCGACCGTACCCCGGACCTCCCACCCTCAAGGGCAGACATTGCTTGTCTGATGCCACTCACATAGCCACTTAACATGCATTTACCAATTTGCCTTTCCAAACTACAAATAGACGTATTTTTAAAAGGAAACTTTGTATGACCACTATCAGTGGAAAATCAGTATCCCTCCCCATAAACAGGAACCAGTGAGGGCAATGGCTGTGAAAACAAGGTCATGCACTGGCTGTCACCTGGATGCTGCTGCCAGCCCAAGCCCAGGCTCCCAGTCCTCACCCAGGAGGGGAGCCCAGCAGGCATGTGAGGAGCTAGACCCACACTGTCCCATACAGCAGCCACTAGCCTCCTGGGGCCACTTTCATTTAAATTAATTAAAATAAAACGAAACTCAAGGTTCAGTTCTTCAGCCTCACGAGGGCCACATTTCAAGTACTCAGTGGGCAGCGCGGATGGACGGCGTTGCTTAGACGAGCCCCAAACCTTTTGAATGGGAAGCCCTCCCTTTCAAAGTCCTACGAAGGAGACACGGCCCACTGTGCTGTTCCTTGCCATGTGACTGAGGGCTTCTCCACCCGCCACCATCAATGCTCGCCCAGGGTCCAAGCAGCAGGTAGAGCAGAGCTCAGATGGTGACCCCTGGTCCAGAGTTCTTTCCACTGGGACAAGCCAGTGCATTGTCCCCTCATCCCCTGAGGCAGCCCCATCCTCTCTGCTCACCACATCTGTGTTGGGGGTAGCCGCTGGCACCCACACCCCCTTGGTGTCACGGTGCTGGTTCTCGTATACCTCCTCCAGCACCTGGCTCTTGTTGATATCCGTGTCCAAGAGGAGTCTGGGGGGAGTGAGACCCGAGTTCCCAGCACTTCTCCCAGAACTTTCAGGTCCCTGGGTTCTCCTCTCCTGGCCGAGGTCTCCCTCACCAGACGGGCCCACCTGGTCGGGGTGGCGGGCCAGGCATGCAGGGTGGGATGGTGGGCAGGCCCTCATTTGGGCACTTAGCCCTGGGACCAGGCTCCAGGGGCTGTGTGCCCGCCTGTCTGGGCTGCTGCTAACCAGCCTCCCAGCTAAAAAGAGGTGTCGCCTCCAGGGCTGCGTGTCTAGGGCACCCAGGCTCCAGGTCCTGCAGCCCAGCCTTACCTCCTCTGAGGCTCTACTGTCCACTGCCCCTGCCAGTGCCATCCCAGGGGTGCCTTGAAATCCTCCTTGGGGAGAGCCTTGTGCCCCAGGACGTCGGAGAAGTTAGGGCAGTGATACAGCCCCTGCTGCCCCCACTGGCCTTTATACTTGGCCTGGTTCTCATACTGGGAAGGCGGGGAGGGAGGCTGTCAGTGGGACAGCATAGAGCCTAACAGTGCCTCAGTGTGGCCTGTCTGCCTGTGTCACTGCTGACCGTGGGAACCCCTGTCCTGCCCCATCACTGGCCACTTCTTTGCCACCTCTGGGCCTTTCTTTGACATCTCCCTGCTGGGTGTGTTGTCCCTGCATGCCCTCCATCTCAGCGTCTGCAAGCCCTAGGTACAGGCTGGTACGCGTTATATATCTACCTGCAACACTTAACTCAAGAACCATGAAAATGTGTTTTAACTTAGTGAATTACAAAGCCTGAGACTCAAAACCTATTTCCCTTCTGCTCTCACAGCCTTCTTCT